AGCGAGCGCGGAGAGAGAGAGAGAGAGAGAGAGAGAGAGAGGGAGGTAGGGCTCGTTTGATCGGAGTCTCTTCTTTCACGAAAGTGTGGTTTCGTTGGGATGGAGATCAGATGTTCGGATCGATGGAGAAGAGAATTGTTCTTTTTTAACGATATATGATGGTGACCCACGCTTTCTTCTTCGAGAAAAATAAGATTTTACACTTGTATTTTATATTTAAGATGGATAAAATTGTTATACATACATTTATTGATTAAAATTTAAGAGCAATAGAAAGGAGATGGACAAGTTGATGATCTGTTAGCGAATCGGTCTGCATTTTTGTACAATTTTAAATCTAAAATTAACGTAGAAACATGGAATTGAAGTTGAAGTTCAGACCGAAATACTTAAGTAGAGGCGGTGAGTGGAACTAAAATATACAAAATATTAAAACTACTTCCTTTCTCCAACCAACACTCAACGAAATGAACGAACGTTAAAACAGACGATCGATCAGACGATGGACGATCTTGTGTTATCTTGTTTTATAACAACCTTGTGAAACCTATGTAAATACCGTGTAGCGAGGAGTTTGAATCTATTGCGGGAAAAATTGGTGAGAAAAATTTGTTGCGCTCAAACATCTGGCCGATTACGGGAGGTGAACTTGGGTAGAAATAAATCTTATAAGTAGGCGGTTCACGATACCTCGCTCGCCGCGGATCGTTGGCCGCAAATCCGTGGATAAGCCGTGGAGAACAAAAGTGTGGAGGCAACGTGGTCAGAAATACGTGGCGCGACCAGGGCTTTGGATAAAACGTTTCGATCTCGTCGTTACGATCGTGTTACAAAGACGACGTGACGATTCGAGAGATTGCTGTACATATATATATATCCTTGATTTTCATGAATTGAAAGGCAGACCCGTTTTCTTCGCGTTTTCATCTCGAAATCGCCGTTAAGGGGATCCGACCGATGATGGATTTTTTATACCGTGAATCTCGGGTCGAGATCGAGAATCGTGGCTATCCTATTTACGTCTCGAGCCATTTTCCCGATTGATCAGCAATGATCTTCGATAAGTGAAAAATTGGAAAGAGGGAGCAACCGCGTTAAATACAGTTTTCCTTCTCTTCCTCTCCTTCTCTTCCCCTTTTTGCGCGGAAAACAAAGGCAGGAAGAAGCACAATAGATGATATAGGTATCGCCAATTTTTCACCCGTCCGCCAGATTTTTCAATGTAACTTGAGAGCGGCTCCCTCGCGAGGTCCCAGGACACAGGAATGGATGAACGGAGGCGAAGGAAGGGTGGGGTCGCAGTGTGGAAAAAGGAGAGGTATATACGCAATAATGGCGGGAAAAAAGAAGAAGAGGAGGAGGAGGAGGAGGAGGAAGAAGAAGAAGAAGAAAAAAAGGGTCTGTTCGAGTGAATGGAAGAAGAGAAAGAAATCCGTAGGATTGGATCCCGCAGGAAAATCTGCCTCGAGGGTTGCTGCCTCGAGCAGGGTGAACGAAGGGGAGGGATGGCGGTTCGGGCATCTCGACGTCATTAATAAAAGTGTCAATGGTGTCAGTGGACTAATGTCTGTAGTCGCTCGGTGGCACCCACGACCTCCTCTCTCCGTAAACGGGCTTCAATCGTTCGCTCCTCCTCGAGGCAGATATACCCTCCTCTCGATTCGGATTACCGCCTCTTATCGCCCCGAAAAAAAACCTTTCCTCGATCTCTTGTTTTCGATTTTTTCCTCTCCTCGCTCGGACCGAACGAAATTTCAACTTTCGGAAAGATCTCGCCTCGCGATTCGAGTTTGCTCTAACTTGGGAGGTGTTTATCGGAAAAAAAAAAAAAAGAAGAAGAAGAAGAATCGACGAAGAAAACCGAAATACATGGAGGGCGCAGGGCGGGATTAACGCTGCTGCGACGTGGTGAAAATTGGGGAGAAGCCGAACGAGAGAGTAAAGTTTGCAAGCGTTATAATTTTAAGCGTTCAATGGGAAGCTCTTCCCAGAAGAGTAACGATCTTTCATCGCCGATGTCGTGAAAAGTATGGGGATGGGGAGGGGGAGGGTAATGGCGGGAGGGGGTTCGCGTATTAGGGAACAAGTTTAAGGCCGTTGGTGCAAGATTCGAGAGGAGAGCCTCGAAACTCGGCGCGGGGAGGCTCCGATATTATTACTATGTAAATCACCCTCTCCCTCCCCCCTCCCCCCCTCCACTCGCAGCCGTGGCACGCTGACGCCCACGGTGACAGGCTCCCGAGTGGCCCACGACGCACGATGGATGAGCCCCGGCTTCTTATTAGATATTCCTATGCGATCCATCCCTCCGATCTGCAAACACGTTCCTTCATTTCGCGCCGATACGACGTTACGTCCCGTGCGTTTTATGGAAAAACGGAAAAAAAAGTTTTCCTTATTTCGGGATTGTTTGTTTCCCGAAAAGAAGATTTTTGAATAATTAAAAGCGAGGTGGAATTTCGAATATTCCATTCCAACTGTCCAAATGTTGGAAGGAGATCGGTTGAAATGAATGTAAAACTTCCGTGACGGAGGGAAAAATGGAAAAATGGTAGGGGAGTTCCGGCGGAAAGTTGTGTTTAGAGCCGTTAATTCGATTTTGATGGATCGCGGTAGAAACGAAAGAAATTATTTTCGAGGAAAGTATAGTTGCCTGTCAAATTCTATTTCCATTGTGAATAATTTTTTTTTTTTTGTCAAAAGAAGAAGAAAATCAAAAATTATTTTCGACAATTTTCAAAGTTTCAAAAAAGGAGCGGAAGAAAGACCTTAGGTGGTGATTAGAATATCAAGAGACAAGCATAAACTGTGCATAACGAGTTTGGTAAACAATATAAAGGGGTCTCTTTCGAAAGAGAAAGGGTTGCCGCCCTTGGGATAAAAGGGGTTCGCGGTCTGAGATACTTTGACGTCTTTCTCCATAAAACACAATGTTAATTAACGAACAGGAGACGCCCTCTCGCGGAGATCCCTGGCTACATTCGCGATTCTCAATCAACGACGGTATTCATGAGCCTACCACGACGCGTTCAGACGCTCGACTCGAATTATGCAAACTAAGTATAGAACCTTTTTACGAACGAAAGTATCAAGATGCCTTTGCGAAACGATTTTTCACTGTCTCTACTACTAAGTGCACGCTGTTTGTTCGAGTTCGAAAAGAAAATTGGTGTATTACTTGTTTGTTTACTTCGATCGTTGGATACGATTATCGACGCATAGAAAGTTAGTAAGTAACCTATCATCTTTACTTGAAAAATATGTTTTTCGACATCGGTTTCTTCGTAAGGTGTAAAATATATATTGTGCTCTCTAAACGTTAATAAACATTACGTCAAGTAAATATTCAATTGGGAGAATACGATAGTAGAGGTTATATCGTATTACGTAGTCCAATGATGGTTGATCGTAAATACGTAGAATTTGTAATTTGTCGTCGTTTCTACAATTGCGATCGAATCATTTTTTCCTGGTTAATTTCTACAATGCTGAGCAAGTCGCTGTTGATCATTTCAGGGAACTCGTCCAGATAGAATCATTTTGCTCGAGTTAACCATCGTAATAGTCTACATATATATATATATATATATATATCGACGACTCGATACCAGGAAAAGTGGTTGGAAAGTACAGGTTAGGAATTGGGTTGACACAGATGAATAAAGCATCTTGATGATTTCATTTCTCGTTTTGGTTCGAAGAATTTATCGTTATTCGTAAGTATAATTTTCTATCGAATGATTATAGAAAGTATTTCTACGTATTTGTCTCAATTTCCATTTGCATTTCTTGCATTCTTTTTCAACCACGTATGACATACATTCATGATATTTAAACTGCGTATATATAAAAAAAATAACGTATAAAATACTTTCCGTAATCACTGTCTTGAAATATTTTTCGTACACGAATATTAATTTTGTAATTGATTCGAATCGAAGACAACAAAACAGAGAAGAATTTCGATCAGGATCAAGATACACATGGACACACGTGAATTTCATCATAAATTGGCAAGATGTTCGAGAAATCTATAATTAACGCGACTAATTGGCAAAACTGGATGCATAACGTACATCCTATCCCGTGTAATCATTCTGTCAAGAACGAACAAAGACAGAGAAGAAATCTCAAAATGGAGCTCGTACAAAGCGAAGGACGTACACGATAATTTCACCGGTGTGCGCAATCTTACCCACGATATCGACGTCTCTGTACAGGTGAATTCACTCTGATTACAGATTCAGCCAACCTGAAAATTACTTGGTCGATTCTCCGTGACGAGCAAGAGAATGAAAGAGAGAAGAGAGAGAGAGAGAGAGAGAGAGAAGGTGATGAAGTCGAATCAGGTATTCATGAGAAAGAAAGAGAGATTGATAAACAACATCACGTAATTTCGCTTATAAGATCAAATTACAGTCGGCGTCGAATTAAAGACCGTTCATTTTCTGCCTGTTTATTCGCGATTCATTCGTAAAATGTGTACTATAGTCTTGAATCGAAACCGATTTACGTCGATTCGCATCATGTTTTTAATGCTATAACTTCAACGAGCGTCGTTTAAGGTGGGATTACTAAAAGGAAAATAAGATCTTGCACTCTCTTCGATTAACCTCGACCAATAATTCTTATTAGCCCAGGAATTCATTAAGAAATTCTCGAAATTGAAACGTTCTTGTTTTTCAATAAAATTTCTCATATAGATACAGCACAGAGATAGTTTTATTTTATTGTATAGCAATTATTTGAATTGTGAACTCTTTTCGAATTAATTTTTTTTTTTTTTAAGAATAATTCTTCTTTTCAAAATACATTGATTTAAAAATCATCGTTTTGAAAAATTTTAAAAACTATCAGGTTGAAACTGAAAGGTTATACGGTTTTCAGAATAGTATAGATGGCAGATCGTGTAACCATCAGAACAATGCGTATCACCAAGCCTTGATTCCAGTATCTCTGATAAATCCCCTATATCCAATCCGACCAAT